GTTCAAATTTACCATATTAAAAAAGATTTACCATTTTATCTTTGAACTATGAGCATCAAGAGCCGCAATCTTCTCTAGTTGTGGAGAATTCAACTGGCCATACAGCTCAGGGATCTGCCATATTGCTGCCCCATATGTTTCACCTACAAACAAATAGAGCATCATCATAGAACCGAGTTCTAGAAAACATCAAATCACCAACACCAACCGCAGTAGCATTCTAACATCTAATGAATGCCACTAAAGGAAATTCAAATGCAAAGAACGTCCTTGCGATCTTTCTTAAGCAGACAAGTGAAGATCATAAATTCAACCTATGATGCTACAAAATTGAAAAGAAACAAACTATTGCTCAAATCACCAACTAGTTTCATCCAAAATAGCAGAACACCAAAATTAAATAGCAGTGTGGTTTGACCAATCAACACTAATTAACTAGCACCCAAGGGTATGACGTAGTAGTCAATGAAGTAAGAGGAGAACCATGAGGTCTCATAATCAAATCCCAGCAAAGTCAAAAAGTACCAGGTAATTTCTTTCCATCTGTCTAAGCCTTAGTGGGCAGAGCTAACCGGTACCTATGTTGGTGGAGGTAGCAGGTAACTGGTGGAAGAGTCGAAGGGCGCACAAGCTGACTCCGACACTGACACCACTGTCTTAACCAATTAACTGCGCATCAATCCCAAATTAGTCGGCTCAACTCTATGAATCTTTTATATTCATTCCACTCTATCCACAGTAGTAACTATTAAAATCATGAATATCACATTAAACAAATTCAAGCAAAAGAGAAATGTCATGCGTAGATACTAAATTCCACTTTTAATTTAACAAATCTAAAGATCACAGAAGAAACAACACTCTATGATCATTCAAATCAAATCAAGCCAAAGTTAAGAACACGAGACAGTGAACTAAGACAATTCACTAGTCGAATATACAGTTATACTGTCAGGTGCCAATAAAAATTGAGCTGTAATCTAACAAAAAACTAAAAATTCAACAGAAGAAACAACACACTATGTTCATTCAGATCAACCTGATCCAATGTAATGAAAATGAGAAAGCTAACTAAAGAAGATTCATAAAGAAACTTACCGGAAGAGAAAACAGTAGAGAAAATACGTTGATCGAAAGGACATGAAGCAAGGTCCCAGATCTCGTTAGGGTGAGAAAACAGACCTTCGCAGATCAATTCAGTGCCAGCTGAAGAAAGCCGAATCAAATGTACCTGCAAAATGCCGCATTACTGGGCAATTCACGTCTACTCGTGACGAATTAGGATGAAGTATGAAATGAAGCTAATTGAGTAGTACCTCATTTTCTTCTTTGAGGCTGAGAGTTCCGGTGAGGAAACTAGTGTGATCCGTATCGGCTTTCACATCGGCGATGCACCGTGCCTTATCAGAAAAAACGAGATAAAACAGTGAATTATTAGGGTTTATGCGAAATGAAAGGAGGAGAATTGTGAGGATTGGAGTTGAACAGACCTGATATTTGAGACCATAACCGATTCCATTTGATCCTCCTTGCATTGATTCGCAGCGTAGAGCTTGAGCTTGAGCTTGAGCTTGAGCTTTTCGCGGTTTGATTTTTACTACGAAGTACAGATCTTAAAGCGACGAAATTTTAACATCAATTGCGTAGGTGAACACAGTCTCATTGAAGCAGTGCGATATATAAGTCGCATTCAGACCAATTTTGCTACATTTTTATTAACTTTAAGTTGCAGTTCTATCTCATTTTACCCATGAAAATCGTAGTTCACATATGTGTATTGACTTCTCACAAAATTAGACATTAGTGAGAGTTTCCCGGCCATAGTTGCCCATTGTGGTAGCAAATCGTCTAACAATGATTATGAAATGTATAATGGGACAAATTGATCCTTACATAAAAAAATTACTTTAAATTTGTTACATAACAACAAATTTAATAAAGCTTAAACAAGTGTTAAAACGAACATGTATTTAAAATTACAATACAATACAATACAATACAGTGAGTGAGAACCATCTAAACAAGTTGTTACTCGCAGCAGCATCGCAATATGTGTTTTTGCAAAATAAATCATTATTTCTCTAGTTCAAATTTTTCTCATTTTCTTTATATGTTTCATTTTTATTTTCTAGTGCTCTAACTCTCTAATTTTTAATTATTTTACCCCAGCGTATTTACTTTTTATTTGGCACTTCTCAGGTATAATTTTATGAAAAATTAATATTTAAATTATTTCACCTTATAAGTTTCTCAATTTAAAGATGAAAGAAATACAAAAATTCTAAAATTTTCTCTCTCTAAAAACGCTCGTCTCAGCGCACTGACGGTGAACTAACGTGCGTCTCGCCGGCATGGGAGGTCGAGGAAGACCTAAGAGGGTAGGTCCGATCATGAAACCAGTCAATGAGATACTAAGCATAACTAATAGGAATGGGAAGGAAGTTATGAAGGAAAACGATGGGTGCCCTAGCCCTGCGATTTCAATGGAACAATGCCCACAGGGAATTGAGGTCTGGCCGACATTGAAAGGAGCAGTTTCAACTCAAACAACGCCAATTGGTGGAATGAGCCAAACTCCAAATCTCAATCAAGTTAAGGAGAAGCTACCAACGCCTATTGAGGAAGGTCCAGTAGCTAGTGCTGAATTAGAGGCTCCGTTGAAAGTAGCTGATCAAATTGGAGTAAGCAAGCCAATCACCATGCAAGAGGCCCAAATTCACAAGCAATTGGATATGGACCAGCAGAAGAATAAAAAAGAATGGGTAAATTTATTTGCGGGCAATAATCTGGCGGCAAAAGGTATGAATCTCAAATAAGTTGCTCCTACTCTAAAGGAAGGGGAAACAATTGTAGAGTTAGATAGTGAAGAAATTGATATGGAGTCAGCTAAGTGGAAGCATGCAATCATTCTGTATGTTGTGGGTGAATCTCCATCAATTGGGGCTTTAGATAGATTCATTGCAGCAAATTGAAATTTTGCGGCTAAGCCCAAAATTTACTTTCACAACGATGGCTATTTTGTAGTGAAATTCAAATGTTTGGAAGATAGCGATGTTGTACTGTACTCAGGGCCATACACTATATGTAGCAAACCTAACATTGTTAAAGCCCAGTCGCTTAGCTTTGATTTTGATACTGAGGTGCTTCAAACAATTCCCATATGGGTGCAACTGTCAAACCTACCACTAAACTGTTGGAGCATGGACTCTCTCAGTAGGATAGGAAGTGGGCTGGGTATTCCTCTATATGCTGATGAATGTACGACAAAAATTGAGAGGATCTCGTATGCTGGATTGTTAGTAGAAATGGATGTTACAAAGCCTCTACCCCACTCAATTAAAGTCATAGACCTAACAAGGAAGATTTTTGAACAACATATTGAGTATGACTGGGTTCCTGAATACTGTTATAAGTGCCTTCAAGTGGGTCATACCTGTCGAAATGAGGAGAAACAGCCAAAACCTATGCCAATGATCAAGCAGAAGCAAGTGAAAACTATGATGTAATGGAAGAGAAGAGAGGATCAACAACAGATTGGTTCTGAGCTACAAGAACTTGGGGGGGAAATGCAAAACACACAGCAACAACAAAAATCCCAAGAACTTGGATTAGCCACTAATAGTCAGGGGAAGGAGACTTGGAAAACTGTCAAAGGAAGATCAGGAACTAAAGGGAATCTAACCAAAGCAAATGATTCAGGGAGGGATCAATGTGATAAATGTTTTCAGCCCTTTAAGTAATGCAGCAGAAGGAGAGGCTGGGGGGGAATAAAGGTGTGGAAAAGGGGCAATACAGCTACCTAGGTGGCACAGGTGGTGTAAAAATACTACGTATAACCAAATGAAGGTCATAACCTAGAATGTAAGAGGCATAAATAAAGTATATAAGTAGAAGGAAGTAAAGAAGTTCATACAGAATAATAATGTTGGCTTAATTGACATACTAGAAAATAGAGTTAAAGAACAGAATGCTAATAGGACAATCATGAAGATAACAAATAATTGGAAATGGTGTGTTAACTATTCCCACAGTGACAAAGGTAGAATTTAGGTGATCTGGGACCCAAACATATTGGAGTTTGATGAAATTGCCATGAGTGCACAAGCCATTCATGGCATAATATGGATCCCTCATTTGAAAGTGAAATTTACCTTATCAGTTATATATGGGTTTCACACTATTGAGACTAGGAAATCATTGTGGAATAAACTGAGGAGTATGAGTGCTACAATGCAGGGGTCATGACTAGCTATTGGTGATTACAATGCAATAACATAGATAAATGATAGGCAGTTTGGGAATCCCGTACATGAAAATGAGGTGAGGGACTTTAATACTTACATAACAGAGTCTAGCATGATAGAATTACGAGCTGTTGGCAGGAAGTTTACCTGGTCTAATGGGAAGATCTATAGCAGAATAGACAGAGCACTTGTTAATGCTGAATGGCTCCTTGCAATAACTCAGACTGAAGTTGTAGTAATGAACCCTGGATGCTCAGACCATACACCACTGAGCATATACTTTGAGAATGTTGGGAAAATGGGCCTAGTCCTTTTAGATTCTTGAACTGTTTGGCTGATCATAAAGATTTCTTGAACATTGTAAAAAAAATATGGGATATCCCTATGAAATATCAATGCATGGAGGCAGTCTGGAGTAAGTTGAATGAGGTAAAAGTTGGTCTAAAGCAACTGAATCAGAAGGAATACAATAATGTAGAGGAGAGGATGCAACTATATAGACAAAAGCTAGATGATACGCAAGCTATGATGATTAACCACAACCACCCTGTCGAACTATTCACTGCTGAAAAGGAGTTGCAAAAGGAACTGGAAAAGTGGAGCTTTGTGTAAGAGAGTACAATGAAACAAAAGTCTAGAACAAAATGGCTACAACTGGGAGATGCAAATACTGCTTATTTCTATGCTAATCTAAAGAACAGACAAACTCAAAATAAAATCAGATCACTAATCAATGCAAATGGGGGAAAACTACAGCAACCTGAGGAAATTGAGGAAGAGGTCACAAGCTTCTACAAAGAATTGCTTGGAAATGTTGTTGATCAATTGCATGTCATTGATCCTACCGTCATGAGAAGAGGTAATTGCCTAAATAGAAGGCAACAACTAAGGTTGATAGATCCAATTACTAAGGAAGAAGTTTACCGAGCACTGATGAGCATTGATGATCAGAGAGCACCGGGCTGTGATGGTTTTAATGCTCTTTTCTTCAAAAGAGCATGGCCCATAATAAGGAAAAATGTGACAAATGCAGTACTTCAGTTCTTCGAAGATGGTGAATTATATAAGGCGATAAATTGCACCACAATCACACTCATTCCTAAGGTACTGAACCCATCCAAAATTTCAGAATTCAGGCCAGTATCTTGTTGTACCATGTTATACAAACTCATATCCAAAGTCCTGACTAGAAGAATATAAGGTGTGATGGATAGTTTAGTGGATCAAAACTAATCTGCCTTTATTCCTGGAAGGTTGATTACTAACAATATCACACTAAACCATGAGCTTGTGAAGGGATATGTGAGGAAAGGAATTACACCTAGATGTATGTTGAAGATTGACATGAGGAAAGCTTACGACTCTGTTGAGTGGCAATATATAGAACAAATTCTTAACTATTTACAATTCCCAACACGCTTTGTCAAATGGATCATGAGATGTGTGCAGACTGTCTCCTACTCTATCATTCTCAATGGTAATCCGTGACACCTTTTCAAGCAAAGAAAGGACTACGACAAGGTGACCCCTTATCCCCTTTTCTATTTGTTCTTGTCATGGAATACCTTAATCAATCCCTAAAAAGACTTAATGCAGTGCCTAGTTTTAAGTTTCATTCAGGGTGCAGGAAATTGCAGATCATTCAACTTGGGTTTGCTGATGATTTGCTCCTATTTTGTAAATAAAGTGCAACTGCTCTTCTAGTGTTTTCAACACTTCTCACAAGTGTATGGGTTGATGGCAAATGTGGACAAGAGCTCAGTATATTTTGGGGATATCAAACCTGAGATTCAACAAGATATCCCGCAAACACTGGAATTTACAAAGGGTGAAATGCCTTTTAGATACCTGGGAATCCCACTCAGCATTAAAAGACTATCTACTATCCAGTGTAAATCTCTCCTTGACAAGATGTTGGCTAAAATTAAATCCTATACTACAAGATACTTGTCATATGTTGGTATATTACATCTGGTAAAGTCTGTCTTGTTTTCTATATAAGTGTTATGGTCACAGGTATTTGTGCTACCAAAGAAGGTGATCCAACTGGTGGAGACTACTTGCAAAACTTTTTTGTGGACTGGAGGGAGTGATACTTCAAAGAAAGCACTTATAGCATGGGAAAGACTATGTCAACCAAGAGTTGCTGGGGGCCTTAATATACTGGATGTCTACTCCTGGAATCATGTTGCTATTGGCAAATTACTATGGAATGTGTGTAGGAAAAAAGATAACTTGTGGGTTAAATGGATCCATACCTACTATACAAAGGGAGGTGCAATATGGGACATCAAACCAGCACAGGCCTCTTGGATGGTGCAAAAAATCTTTAAAGCAAAGCTGATGTTTGAGCTAGCAGGCATAACAGAAGATACAGTTGCTACGATGAGCATTTATTCAATCAAAAAGATCTATGGGCTTATTAGAGGTGATTATCCAAAAATGCCATGGAGAAGAATACTATGCAACAATGCTGAAATGTCAAAGTGGTTGTTCATACTCTTTCTGGCACTACATAGACGACTTCAAACGAAGGATAGGATTGCATGTTGGGAAAATTTAGAGGATATGATATGCCCTTTATGTTTGAGAGAAAATGAGGACATTGATCACATGTTGTTTCAATGCGATTATGCGAAGGAAGTCTGGAATAAATTGCTGCAATGGTAAGACATAAGAAGGGGTGCAAGAGCCTGGCAAATAGAGGTGCTATGGGCAATCATATATGCTACTGGAAAGAAGGCACATCAAGAAGTATACAAAATGGTGATGGGTGATGGAGTTTACCATATTTGGCAGGAAAGGAACGCGAGGATATTCAAGACGCAAAGAAGGGAAGGCTTAGCAAATATATGGAAATGTTAAATTTATATCCATAGCTGTATATTTGCGATGTAAATAGAGGTTATTTTGGGGGTGTAAGTTTAGGACCAATGTCTAAACTGCACACCTTCATTTTCTAGTTGACAAAGCTGTACATAGTTCCAAGTGGTAATATAAAATTAGTTAGTTACCAAAAAAAAAGAAATACAAAAATTGCTTATGCTGCTACTCAATTTTTTTCCCTTGAAACAACGCCTCAAATCTCCAAAAGATACTTGTTTTTAAAGAAAAGAGTAGTACTTTTAATATCTAAAGACACATAATATAAAATAAATTTAAAAAGAGATTTTGTATATTGTATTTTAAAGTCTCACATTTCTTTGATTTGAATATCAAAGTGAATTCAGCCTGCTATTTGTGTAAAGATCCCTTGCGCTGAAAAGTGAGCCCAATAAAACATATAATCAAGAAGCCCACCGGAGGACCCGAAAGCCCATAATCATCACTGACTCACTCAGAGTGACGCTTGACTCATTCCTCTTCCCATAAGCTTTTCATGTTGTTATCATCAATGGAGATAATAGGGTTTTAGCTAAGGAAAACAAACAAAAAAAATCACTTAATCATTCTAAAATGTCGTCGTTGACGTTGAAACCAATATTTCTGTTGCAGTCTTACGGTTCTTCGTCAGTCGATAGTCGACGGCTTTGTTCTTTAATTAGCTTCCAGAAGAAGAAAACGTTTCGCAAACAAAGATTTACTTTGAGAGCTCAATCCTTCGATTCATCTCCAAATAACAACGAAAATGACAGTAAAAACGATTCCAAACCTCCCAACGGCTCTATGGTACTCAAATTTTCAGTTTTTGTATTTTAATATTTTATTTGGAATTAGTGTAGTATTTTTTTTTTTAAGTTGAAAATGTTAGTTTGCCCGATATTCTAACAAAAATGCAGGCAAAGCAGGTTGAAAGATATTAAATTTAATAATGTTTATTGCAGCAAAAGAGCAGAAGAGAAATTCTATTGGAGTATGTACAAAATGTACAACCAGAATTCATGGAGTTGTTTGTCAAAAGGGCCCCACAACAGGTATTAGCAATAAAGTTTTATACTTTGAAGAATTTTTCCTTTTTAAATTTTTTTCTTGTGCATTTTCACTGTATATAGCAGGCCTAATTGGCCCAAATAGAGCGGAATAGATGTAGAGGACTCGTATAGATGAATCCAACTATTTTTTATTCAGGTAAAGCTGTTAGGTTTGATGATGTAGTGAAGTAAACATAAGTGAAAGAGCTAATGTAACTGAAACTTGCTTGAAGTTCAAGGTACTAACGTGACATGTTTTGATAATTCTTATATGTGCTAGGTAGTTGATGCGATGCGCCAAACTGTGACAAATATGATTGGAACTTTACCTCCACAATTTTTCGCCATTACTGTAACCACGGTAAGTGGCTATGATTTCAAGGCTTTGCTAGCCGTAATATCTGAGATGAGACGTGCTTTGATTATGGACGTACATGTCATCTCTGGGGCCGATGCTAATTTTGGGCGATGTTGATTTATATGTAGGTCGCCGAAAATCTTGCTCAGCTTATGTATAGTGTGTTGATGACTGGATATATGTTTAGGAATGCTCAATTTCGACTAGAATTGCAACAAAGCCTGGAACAGGCTGCCCTTCCTGAAGCACAGGAGGAAAAGGTAAGTACTTTTTGGTGTGTTGATTTTGTTGCCATTTTCTGGAACTATATTAATTACTACTCTTTACTGCCAAATAATGCATCAGTTTCAATTTGGATTATTTACTTCAACATTATCTTGGTTGTTTTGGAGTTATTCATGTCTTCTCTCAGGTTGAAGTCTCTTAGCATCACTCATGGGATAAAAGACATTTAACACTAAATAGTAAACGGATTAAAACGGGCAAATGAAAATTTAAAAATATTCCTCAACGTAAGGCTGATGGGAAGTGAGCATCCATTCTCTTATCTTAGGTAGGTGCACATCTTCCAAGTTAGCAGGGTAGTCAACTTGCTGTTTTTAATACAAGAGATGGAAGGGTAAATGATATTAATCTGTTCGTAAAACTATTTCTGGTTTGTCTCTCTTTGTTCTCCAGAAAACTTTGACCGGAAAAGAACATATGATTTTGTTTAAAGATCACGATGTCACAATAAAATGTTGACTGAATAACAAGGAAAAGATTTTAGTAGCTTTTTAACTTATTCATAGAGAAGCTTTCAGTTTGTCCCGGTGTTTATGTTTCCCTTTATTTCTT